TCATTCCAACACAGGGAAAAAGGTGTGCATGAGAAAAGCTTTGCCTGGGTTAATGCCACATGTGGGGTTAACATTGTGTTTAATGATTCTGGTTCCCTGCTCTAGCAAGGGTATCGCCTTCTCCCTGCACTACGTAGTCTCCATATTTTTATTTGCTTCTAGCTGACAAAACTAAGGGAGCCTGCCAGCATGTGAAAAAAACGCTGTATTAGCCAGCTGTGCAGTTTGTATTTAACAAGTGGGTGTATTTTATCAGAAAGCAAAGGAAATAATAACATCAAATTCATATGTCAAAAAAGCATGTGCATTTAATAAATAATAATTGATGTGCATGATTTTATTTACTGTCTCTTCTCCTCGCTTTTTCCGCCTCGCCAGTTGCTCACCTTTGCTAGTTTATGACATGATGTTCAAGGAAACATTGCGTTATCACACGCAGCAGACATCAACAGAGAGAAATTGGCTTGTCATTAATAATAATTGTAAAACCAACCCTACAATAAACCCTGCTTTTGGCCACAACTTCTGCCTCCTGGGAGCAGAAGTGAAACGATATCCACAGCTCTCATCTGTTGATCATTTTTAACGCAGGGTTAAATTCTCCATGTGCAAAGGTCAAGTGTAGACCGGGCTCATCACAGGGCTGGGAGATGCATAAAGGCCATAGCTGCAGAGCAACCTGGAATGTAGGTACCCAGGGGAATGGGGAACTCAGCTTTCTTCCCTAGCTTTTTCTTAGGGTACCACTAAATGGCAAGCTTCTGGTTAAGACTGACCATTTTGTGTCTGTTGTGCCAGGGGAGAAATGGCACAAGAAGCCCTGGTAACAGTTCACTTCCTGAAACACCCATGGATTCCGACGTTGCTCCCGTAGAGATTTCTGAAAGGCTGGTATGGCTATGAGCAACTGTTGCTGTGGGGAACACATTCCAGTGGCTGCCTCCAGGTTCTTCCTGTCTCTCAACCTTCAGACCTGACAGTGGTTTCCCTGCTTGGATTAAGGTCCTTGTTTTGACAAATACTGGGGCCTGACAAAATAGCTCACAGTTCTAAAGCAAGCTACAGCAGAGATGCTGCAGGCTCACACCCCCATGGTTTGAAGCATAAGTGGGAAGAAACATGAACACTCAGCCCTCAGTAGGCAGCTTGGCTTTCTGGGAGAAGCAGAACAGGGCTGGCTTGGAAATTAAAGGGGAAACTGCCTCCAAGTTTAGACATTTTTTATTGATAATATGTAGCACAATTACCCACTGAAATTAAGCTTCCTTAGAATAGAGGCATACCAACTGCAAAAGGGGTCTGCCCAATGTCCACTGGAATCAGCTGAAAGCATTTTAATAACTGTAGTGAGTTTGGTTTAATTGTCAACAGTGCAAAACAATGCTGCGCAGCTTTTAGGACAGGAAGTGCAGTATGCTGTAAGTGATATGAATTCCTTTTGCTCTTTTTCGAATCACTAATTTTTGTTTAAGTTTATCACACAAAAAAATCATAAACTGCACACAACCTTAAATGCAGACATAATGTACATTACTGCAATAATAGAGAAGCTGTGCTCTTTTAACCAGACAGATGAAATAGAAATAGGCATATTGAATGAGTTCTCCTCAGTGAAACATTCAAATTCCTTATTTTCCCAAATCTTTAAATTCTAACTTGTCTGTTAAGGATACAAAAGTGTATTTAGACTACAATATGCTCACAAAGGACAACACACCAACTACATTTTCTTCAGACAACAACATAGGAATGTCCAAAGAGTTGGTTGAAAGGCTTTTGTACAGGGCCTTGCACTCAATACCTTTTCCAAGTTTTGTCGTAGAGCGGCTATTTGGAATTTACAAACCGTTCAACCAGAATGCACAACAATTGCAGTTTTGAGTGTGTATAAATAGCACTCTTGTAAGAAGGGTTAGCTGCTTTGCTTAAATATATTAATTAAAGGAAGTCCAATTATCATTTTGTTTTGTAGCCATCGAGGCCGCAGCACACCAGTTCCTAACTGATCACAAGTATAGCGAACCAATAGGCAAAGCCAAAACATCTATGGAAAAACATATTAACTAGTGCCAGAATTGTGAAATGAATAAGAGATTATTTAGATAAACTGAGTTATGAACTGAAACTAGCTATAGTACACAGCTGTAAATGTCAGTGAACCAGACAAGCTAATTCCTTGCCTGTGAAGTAATGTTGGAACGCATATTATATGCAGTTTATGTTTAAATATAAATATGGGATTACCTTTTAGGTTGTGAAACAGAATCATATAGGCAACAAACATTACATCTAGGGTCTTCTGAGAGTCAAAACTGTTGTGTCAAATATGGTTAGTTTAGTAGGGTTGATGGGCTTTATTCAAGGTTCCTAGAATTTATCTGCCAAGCATAAATAATTATTTAACAACTAATAGGGCAAGGCCAGAAATATAATAGCTTTTATGTTGAAATTAACATCAAGTGATCTGTAGACATCTGCTAAGCAAGCCAAATGTGGCCTATGTGCTGTATGTTTTGCCTCACTGCCTCAAAATAACAAGCAGTGCTTATATTTGGAGGGGCAGTTTTCCTTGTTGAAGTGGAAAAAAAATGCTCTGATAGAAAATCACTTGCACTGTTAGGATCAAATGTGTGATGAACATTAAATAGCCCTACAAATTTAAATAATGCTCGATGCTGAGATTTCAGCCTTGCAAACGCTCATTTCCTGATGTGTGCTTGGTGTGGTTCAGAGGGAAATGAAAGTCCTTTCTTGTTAGAAAGAAAACAAAGTATTGCCAGTGTATTCCAGCCCTTAGCTGTTGCAGCTTTCTGGGGTCCAGTAAGTGCGGGAGCCTGGGCTCCAATGAATTTATTTTTCCAAAATGACCAGAAGGGTGAGGGAAGCATAAGAAAAGCCACAGCACTGAGAAAGCCTGAAAAAGTTCAAAGTAGCAAAGACCCCTTCCAAGCAGATACTCGCTGTTGCCTTGCAGAGATCTGCATTGTGTGTGTAAGTGTTCGGGTTATGTGGATGCCAGAACAGAAACTGTACTTCCTTTGCTTGAGAGCACCGCTGTTGGCATCGTTTGTTTGCTTTACTGGCTGTTGCAGTTCATCTGCTTTCAGGGCCAACTGTTCGATCTTTGGCATCTTCTCTATGGGTCTTGGCCTTTACTCTGTTTTAAAAGTATTAGAAGGAGGTTGAATTGCTGAGTGGGGAACGTAATCTTTGTGAGGCAAAGTCTAAAGATGTTAGTAAGCCGAAAGGGCTGCACTGGCAATTTACCGTGTACTATGCAGGAATGAATGAGAGACTCATATTCATTGTGCTTATGTATGCTCAAGTTCTTTATGTCCATATTTAGATCTATTAACACAATAAGATTAAGCCAACTTGACTTTCTTGAATGAACAAAGCAGTAAATGGCAGAGCGTAAACAACAGACCCCATAAATGTGTACTACCACCAGCACCATGACTAACACTGGACCTGAGATCCTGTGGGGTTTGGCAGTGACACAGAAGACGCTGTTCTGAACAAGCTGGATTCCCTTTCGTACAGGAGCCTTGGCACCGACCTCACTGTAAGCTGGCTCGAGCTTTTATGGGGGCAATGAAGGCTGGGCTCTGCACTGGACTCGGTGTCTCTGCCCCAGGCTTTCCTGAATACAGGAGTGCAGCCTCAGGCTGCTCTGGTTCGCACTGCCAGGAGTCCCTGGGGATTTGTCTGCCAGCTGGGTTAGCCAGAACACACAGTGCTCCAGCCAAAGTCAACTTCCCCCTGTGAGGGCAACCGCAGGGAGGAAATGTCAGATGATGGCTGTCCCAGTTGTCAAACCACAACTCACCCTTTTCCCCCAGCGACCAGTGGCAGCAACTTCTGCCCTGTGCTGGCAACTCCAGAGGACAGAGGAACAGGACAAAGTGTCTGGGGGAAGAGAGCTGTTGTATTGGCAAATCCAGACTTCTTCACAAGAGACCAGGTTTTGACTGTGACATTTTTCTCTGCTGCTTCAAAGCACACATGATGAGAAAAAAGAAATCCCCTTTGCAAGGGGCTCCCTCTTGGATTTCTGCATTGGAGCAGCGCACAAGGGAGTTAGGAGT